TCAGTTCTAGTTCAGTTCTAGTTCAGTTCTAGTTCAGTTCTAGTTCAGTTCTAGTTCAGTTCTAGTTCAGTTCTAGTTCAGTTCTAGTTCAGATCTAGTTCAGTTCTAGTTAAGTTCTAGTTCAGTTCTAGTTCAGTTCTAGTTCGTTCTAGTTCAGTTCAGTTCTAGTTCAGTTCAGTAGTTCTAGTTCTAGTTCAGTTCAGTTCTAGTTCAGTTCTAGTTCAGTTCTAGTTCAGTTCTAGTTCAGATCAAGTTCAGTTCTAGTTCAGTTCTAGTTCAGTTCTAGTTCAGTTCTAGTTCAGTTCTAGTTCAGTTCTAGTTCAGTTCTAGTTCAGTTCTAGTTCAGTTCTAGTTCAGTTCTAGTTCAGTTCTAGTTCAGTTCTAGTTCAGTTCTAGTTCAGTTCTAGTTCAGTTCTAGTTCAGTTCTAGTTCAGTTCTAGTCAGTTCTAGTTCTGTTCTAGTTCTGTCCTGGTTATGTTCCAGTTCAGTTCTAGTTCAGTTCTAGTTCAGTTCTAGTTCAGTTCTAGTTCTGTTTTAGTTCTGTTCCAGATCAGTTCTAGTTCAGAACTGATCTGGAACAGAACTAGAACTGAAGTTCTAGTTCAGTTCTAGTTCTAGACCAGTTAAACTGTAATTAATCAAATTAATTTTTAACTAAAGATTACAAAAATCAATATTACTCAATAATTAAAATGCCTTCAGATTGCCTCACAACCAAACTGACTCATAACTGCAAACTAAGTTAAACAATTTTCAATTATTATCGACCCCAATCAACAGATGACACACGTTAGTTCTTTAAAAAAAAAAATATAAAAATACCACCACACCCACTTACCTGAAACTATTTAGACAAAACTTTCCTTAACATTAGTGACGCCACAAAATCAAAGCAATAATTGTTATTTTATCTTTGAAAAGGAAAAGAAATATTTGCCACTTTTAATTAACAATTCCCAGATTTTTATCTTCAACATAACTACTCAGCTACCTTAAAACAAAACATACTGTCTATAAGTCGGTCGTTTTGTCTGTCTGTCTATGTTTTCATAATTATTGATGATTTCAGTTTATAGATACAGTGAACAATTTATCTATTTTTTCACTGACAACAACAATCTTATCTAACCAACAGCGAATGAGTGTTCACCACCACATTAATAAAATTTCATTTTCAAACATTTCTTCAATGGCTACTACTCTTTATTGAACAATATAGTATTTGGTTAGAAAAATCTAATATTGTCATGTTTTTTTTTTTTATACATTATTATTATTTCTTGTTAATAATAACTTGCTATTACCAAAAATGTGATTCTATGCCATAAATAGTAACTCACAGAGAAAAACAAAATATTATAAAGAAAAAGACCGCTTGGTTTATTAATTTTTTTTTTTAACTGGTTGCTAACTTGTCCATAATACTCTCATAACTCGCCCTCAACTTTTTCGAAATTCTCTTGTATATATGTTTGTAATTTTTTTTTGCAAAGTTGTTAATATTAATAGATAAATTATAATATTTAATCATATTTGCGGATTTGGCTTTGTGTTTTTTTGCGTTTATCGTTTGAATTATTGCTCTTATATGGTCATTAACAAAAAGCCATGCATAATCTCATTTTGATTTTTAATTTTTTTTCTGAAATTTATGTAGAAAATAATGGAATTTTAAAACCAAATTAAGACGTTTTCTTTGGTATTGAAAATTTTGGTTATATTTGTCATGACACATGTCATGACATGTGTTAGATATTATGATAAATACATCTGCCATATGGGGAATTTTTCAAAAATTATAGTTTTTACTAAAGTATAATCATGACAAGAGAATTAACTATAGTCTCACTATTAGATTGTGACTAGAGTTTAGTCTTTAGTTTTGACTACATATTTTTGAGTATAGGCCTCAATTTGTGAAGAGAATCAATCAAATTCCAATATTATAGTTATATTTTAATTTATTTATACCATCACAATTAATACCCATCTAACTCCAAAAAAAAAATCTATCGTTATAAATATTCCCAATTTTGTAATCATAAACCTGGCCAATTGCCCGCAATTGACCTGCAAACTTTATATATTTTGCAATTAAAAATCGATTAAAAACATTTATCTTCTATAAATGAACATTATACCGTTATATGCCTTTTTTTGGGTCAACTATGATGCAAGTATTAAATTGTAGACTGCAAAAACAGCATCCAAAATTAAAATTGGTTACAAACATTTCAAAAGAACTTCCATACAAAACCAAAACAATTTTTAGCAAAAAAATGTTTTTAATTTAATAAAACAAATAACAAAGAAACTAAACAAGTACATTTGGTAATATATAAAATGTTTAAGTGCCAATTTTTAGACATAACATGTTTTTAATACAATTTTTTAGTTATTTTTGTGTTCTGTTCTTTAAACAACAATTCAATTTCGAAACCTAAGACAGCAGCACAGAATAGTTTTTGAAGGATGTTTTAAGTAACACAAAAAAAAAAAAAAAAAACTGAAATATTTAAATGTAAACATTATTCTTAACTACTGTTAATAAGAAGGACATAGGCAAGCTTTATGTACTTTTGTTTTTGTTATAGTGTAGACTATAGTCTTGATTATAGTAAATACTACATATATTTCAATCTAAAGTCAAGAACTGAACTAGAACTGAACTAGAACTAAACTAGAACTGAACTAGAACTGACTAGAACTGAACTAGAACTAGAACTGAACTAGAACTGAACTAGAACTGAACTAGAACGACCTAGAACTGAACTAGAATGAACTAAACTGAACTAGAACTGAACTAGAACTGAACCAGAACTGAACTAGAACTGAACTAGAACTGAACTATGAACTGAACTAGAACTGACTAGAACTGAATTAAGACTGAACTAGAACTGAACTAGAACTGACTAGAACTGAACTAGAACTGAACTAGAACGAACTAGAACTGAACTAGAACTGAACTAGAACTGAACTAGAACTAGACTGAACTAGAACTGAACTAAAACTGAACTAGAACTGAACTAGAACTGAACTAGAACTGAACTAGAACTGAACTAGAACTGAATTAGAACTGAACTGAACTAGAACTGAAACTAGAACTGAACTAGAACTGAACTAGAACTGAACTAGAACTGAACTAGAACTGAACTAGAACTGAACTAGAACTGAACTAGAACTGAACTAGAACTGAACTAGAACTGAACTAGAACTGAAACTAGAACTGAACTAGAACTGAACTAGAACTGAACTAGAACTGAACTAGAACTGAACTAGAACTGAACTAGAACTGAACTAGAACTGAACTAGAACTGAACTAGAACTGAACTAGAACTGAAACTAGAACTGAACTAGAACTGAACTAGAACTGAACTAGAACTGAACTAGAACTGAACTAGAACTGAACTAGAACTGAACTAGAACTTGAACTAGAACTGAACTAGAATGAACTAGAACTAAGACTAGAACTAGAAACTGAACTAGAACTAGAACTGAGAACTGAACTAGAACTGAACTAGAAACTGAACTAGAACTGAACTAGAACTGAACTAGAACTGAATTAGAACTGAACTAGAACTGAACTAGAACTGAACTAGAACTAGAACCGAACTAGAACTGAACTAGAACTGAACTAGAACTGAACTAGAACTAGTGAACTAGAACTGAACTAGAACTGAACTAGAACTGAACTAGAACTGAACTAGAACTGAACTAGAACTGAACTAGAACTGAACTAGAACTGAACTAGAACTGAACTAGAACTGAACTAGAACTGAACTAGAACTGAACTAGAACTGAACTAGAACTGAACTAGAACTGAACTAGAACTGAACTAGAACTGAACTAGAACTGAACTAGAACTGAACTAGAACTGAACTAGAACTGAACTAGAACTGAACTAGAACTGAACTAGAACTGAACTAGAACTGAACTAGAACTGAACTAGAACTGAACTAGAACTGAACTAGAACTGAACTAGAACTGAACTAGAACTGAACTAGAACAGAACTAGAACTGAACTAGAACTGAACTAGAACAGAACTAGAACAGAACTAGAACTGAACTAGAACTGAACTAGAACTGAACTAGAACTGAACTAGAACTGAACTAGAACTGAACAGAACTAAACTAGAACTGAACTAGAAACTGAACTAGAACTGAACTAGAACTGAACCTAGAACTGAACTAGAACTGAACTAGAACTGAACTAGAACTGAACAGAACTGAACTAGAACTGAACTTAGACTGAACTAGAACTGAACTAGAACTGAACTAGAACTGAACTAGAACTGAACTAGAACTAACTAGAACTGAACTAGAACTGAACTAGAACTGAACTAGAACTGACTAGTAAACTGAACTAGAACTGAACTAGACTGAACTATAACTGAACTAGAAACTGAACTAGAACTGAACTAGAACTGAACTAGAACTGAACTAGAACTGACTAGAACTGACTAGAACTGATAACTGAACTAGAACTGAACTAGAACTGAACTAGAACTGAACGAGAACTGAACTAGAACTGAACTAGAACTGAACTAGAACTGAACTAGAACTGAACTAGAACTGAACTAGAACTGAACTAGAACTGAACTAGAACTGAACTAGAACTGAACTAGAACTGAACTAGAACTGAACTAGAACTGAACTAGAACTGAACTAGAACTGAACTAGAACTGAACTAGAACTGAACTAGAACTGAACTAGAACTGAACTAGAACAGAACTAGAACAGAACTAGAACTGAACTAGAACTGAACTAGACCTGAACTAGAACTGAACTAGAACTGAATTAGAATGAACTAGAACTGAACTAGAACTGAACTAGAACTGAACTAAAACTGAACAAGAAATTAACTATAACAGATTACTTAAAACTATTTAAAATAAAATAAACTTTTTATAATAAATTTACTAGAGTTTATATGTAAATTTAGTTAAGTGTTTTAAATAAAATACTCCAGAGTATAATCATTTCTAATACAAACTAATTACCTGGTAATTAACTGTGATTAAATGTTGCCAACTAGAATGTAATACATAAACAAAACAAAAACACTTGTTTACTATTATTTGCACTTAATAATGTTTTGCTTTTAAACAAGTTGTTGTAAAAACAAAAAACACTTCTTAAACAATTAATTAAAACTTTTTTGTATTGGCAATAATTTTTAAAATAAAAACAAAACTTCAAAAGCTGAAAGAAATTTTTTCTATTGGAGTGAGTTTGATAGAGAGTTACCAACTATGAACTGGTAGATTTGTATTTAAAATATTGATTTAGTTTAAAGTTTTATTATTATTTTCTTACTTTGTATATTTATCTTATTTATTTATTATTTATTTTTTTGTCACACTTGAATGAATTCTGTACTTTTTAACGTGTGTTGTACACGACGTTGAAAGAGCGTGTTGGAATGGAAAAAAGAATATGTTAATTAATTTTTTTTATTTCAATATTTTTTCTTATATGTTTGTAGTTATATTTGAATGATTTTTTTTTGCGTGGTTGTGTTTGGTTTAACCTTAAAGTAGAGAGTTGTGGAAAAAAGCAAATTGACTTTGAAATTGATTTTTTTTCACAATTTTTATGACAAATAAATGTTGACGTTTTAATTTTCGTTCTTCGTTCCAGAGTCTTGTTATGTATATAAATTTATTCAGTTATATACATACATATGGTTGTTAAAATATTGTAAGTTTTTTTTTTTTTTTCTTTTTGGAATTATTATTATATTTATAAAAGGTGTATAGGTTTTTTTTCGAAATTGTATAATACTTTGTGTACACAGACGCCGCTTTTTAGATAGATGAGGTTGTCTACATGACGTTTATTAAAAATATGTTAAAAGAAATTATGTCTTTAATTTAATTTTAGGATAATTTTTAATAAAATAATTTTCCTTTTAAATTTCCCTTAGAAATTTATTTAATAAAATTTTTTCTATTTAATTTTTTATTAAATTTTATTTTCACATACTTTTCCTTATATTTTTTTTTATATTCTCTGTAAAATATTCCTTTTATTTAAAAATTTCCACTTTGTTTATTTCTCATGAATTTTTCTTAAAAACACTTTTATTTTAAATTATTTTAATTCTATTGCAATTTGAAAATTTTCCTTTTTATTTGAAAAATTTTCTTTTCGCTTTAAACTTAACACACAGAAGAAAATATTTTTTTAGCTTTATCGTCGTTGTATATGAATGAAAAAATCACCACAGAATGAATATGAGAAATATTCACAGAGCTTAAAGTCGTCGTCTATGAGTTTGTTCGAATATTATTTTGCATTATGTTTTCCAAATTATATTTTGTAGTGAGATTCTTTCTATTTCTCTTATTGTTTTCGGAAAAAAAGCCTCAATTTTTACCTCACATAAATTATACAAAAAAACAACAACAAACAGACAAAAGAAGACTTGTTTCAGTGTTGTCAAAATAAGGGTTGCAGGAAACGTCAAATAAGTAGATAATGTTTTGTTAGCGGTTTTTTTTTTTGTTAAGGTTTTCTCTTGTCAAACAAGTTTATCTGACAGCTGTGAGAAAGAAAATTCAAGTTGATTGAATTTCGAGAGAATTCTTGTATTGTTTAGAATTTAATACAAATCAAATATCTTTATATAACATTTGCACTCATTCATCAGACCAGATCCTTTTTTCGGCATTCCTAATGGATACGTAAGGGAAAGTGTAATAACTCAATTTATTTGTCGCTGGCAAGCTATATCAAAGCTTACTGTTCGTAACGTTATCAAAGGGAATATCTCAAAACTTATTGTCGCCCAAGAAAGGCTGATTTTAGGATAATAAAGGATCTATATACCGGCCACTGTGGGCTTAGATAGGATGAGTACATTCTTGATAATGCTGTGTCGGTGTAGATTATCTCTGAGCATATACTTTTTACCTGTCAGCCGTTAGGGTCTCACACTTTAGAGTTACATACGTGAACTTAACCTTCAATGGTGAACTAAAGTTCTAAAGTGAACTATTGACTCTCCTAATCTAACCTTGAGTTTATGTTACTGATCTGTAGAAGTTTACTGTGGTATCGCTTTAAATAAACCTCCCTGAGTGATCTCTTATCAGCCTTGCACAGATGCGATGGGTTCACGTTTGAACTCGTCATTAGATTAATGGGGGCCTGATATTCCCGAATGAAGATTAAAAACATTGAATCAATGTTCACTTGTTAAATGAAATGTTACCATCGCAGGCCACATTGTTACAGAATCCACTTTGCATTCTTGCTAGAATGTTTTTGGAACTCTTAAATCCTGGAAGAGTAATGGCCTTATGCTCTTAATTCGTGAGCTCATTGGCCACGATTGTAAGGCAAAGTATTTTTATTTGGAGTTTTTTGCTTGTAAGAGGCATGAAAGCCAATTCAAAGTCATCTAAAGACATGGTACCATAGCTGTTAATGCGGATGATGAATCCCCAAAAGAGCTTGGATACTGTAGATACCTTTTTCTCAGATTCTCTTTTCATCCTTGCAAACATATTAATGGATCCATTTTTGCTTAAGAAATATCTTGTAAGAGGAATGAAAAATAATTCAAAGTGGACCTAATTAGCTCAGAAAGAGTATTGTTAAAGAAAATTGGGTTTAGTCGGGACTGGTTCTCATCTGGACCTTGATAGCTTTAGAGATATCTGGTAACGAAGCTAACAAAGATATCTAACCTTGGTCACGAACGATCCGATTTTATATATAATAAGCGGGCTCGACTCCTATTTATCGGACCAGTACCTTTCTAAGGGATCACGCAAAGATGTGTCTAGTTTATGGGTTGAATAAGAAACTTTTCGCAACTAAGACCATAAGACAGACGAAATTTCGAAAGTAATGCTAAGCAGATCGCAAGAAGTTATTCTCTGTTCAAAATTGTGATTGTCAATATAGCATCTCTATGCATCGGTCAGTGGAGCAACACAATAGCCAAATAAAGCTAAATACAATTTCTAATAAAAATATTAGCAACACTGCCTCCAAAAGACAACACTGCATAATATAACAAAATAAATATTATAGAGAAAAACAAATATGACTCTCTGGTAAGAAAAAGGAACTCTCACTTTTTTTGCGCACATTTTATTTTTCGCTATTTTAACAACCCGCAAAACTTCTATATCAATAAAGGTGTTTGTTGAAAAGAAAAACGTGAAAAAGGGTAAATACAAAATGGGGGTAGTTTCTCTCATTCATTTCCTTTCTGTCTCTCTCTCTACATATTTGGTTGTTGCTTAGTGATGCTGCTGTTTTAACGTTTTCATTGTGTTTTTATTATAATTTTCGCTTAATACCTTAACGAGAGTGTTCGTATGTATGTATTTGTTTATTATTGTTGTTGTTATTATTCCGAGATTCAATTCCATAAATGGGGGTTGTTGGCTGTTTGTATTTTTTTTTGCCATTTCTCATATAAAATTGTATGTTTGTTTTGTTGTTGTTTTGGAACAGCAAATTTTAAAGCTTTGACAATTGATGTTTTTGTTATGATTGTTTTTATTGTTGCTGTTGTTGTTTGTTGTAATGAAACAGGTATTTAAATGTAATAAAACATGTTTTTATATAAAAAATATGCATAAATTGTAGAAAATCTTGGATTTTTCTGATTCTAACGAAGCATATTATTTAGGTTTAGGTTTGTTTAGATTATATTTATCTATCTATGTATCTATCTACCTACCTACCTATCTATCTATCTATCTATCTATCTATCTATCTATCTATCTATCTATCTATCTATCTATCTATCTATCTATCTATCTATCTATCTATCTATCTATCTATCTATCTATCTATCTATCTATCTATCTATCTATCTATCTATCTATCTATCTATCTATCTATCTATCTATCTATCTATCTATCTATCTATCTATCTATCTATCTATCTATCTATCTATCTATCTATCTATCTATCTATCTATCTATCTATCTATCTATCTATCTATGTATCTATGATCTATCTATCTATCTATCTATCTATCTATCTATCTATCTATCTATCTATCTATCTATCTATCTATCTATCTATCTATCTATCTATCTATCTATCTATCTATCTATCTATCTATCTATCTATCTATCTATCTATCTATCTATCTATCTATCTATCTATCTATCTATCTATCTATCTATCTATCTATCTATCTATCTATCTATCTATCTATCTATCTATCTATCTATCTATCTATCTATCTATCTATCTATCTATCTATCTATATATCTATCTATCTATCTATCTATCTATCTATCTATCTATCTATCTATCTATCTATCTATCTATCTATCTATCTATCTATCTATCTATCTATCTATCTATCTATCTATCTATCTATCTATCTATCTATCTATCTATCTATCTATCTATCTATGTATCTATCTATCTATCTATCTATCTATCTATCTATCTATCTATCTATCTATCTATCTATCTATCTTGGAAGTAACTATAGCGAATCTTAATCTATCTTAACGTTTAAATACATTTTAATTTCTGGAATTTGCATTTTTTCTTTCCCCCTTCTTTACCCGTAAATATTTAAATCTATCTATCTATCTATCTATCTATCTATCTATCTATCTATCTATCTATCTATCTATCTATCTATCTATCTATCTATCTATCTATCTATCTATCTATCTATCTATCTATCTATCTATCTATCTATCTATCTATCTATGTATCTATCTATCTATCTATCTATCTATCTATCTATCTATCTATCTATCTATCTATCTATCTATCTATCTATCTATCTATCTATCTATCTTGGAAGTAACTATAGCGAATCTTAATCTATCTTAACGTTTAAATACATTTTAATTTCTGGAATTTGCATTTTTTCTTTCCCCCTTCTTTACCCGTAAATATTTAAATAAATCTCCAACTTACATAAATTCGCCTTTGACTCGAGATGCTATAAATCACTGACAGAGACAGCAGCTGAAGCTTTTTTTGAAGATGATACTCGATGATTTATCTATTTGCAAAGATATGCAATAGGATGGTTGAATATTTTAAAAATTTCTTTTTTGTTTTTTATTTAAAAAAATCACTTTCTTTTCAACAGAAATTTGCCAACAAAATTATGTATTATTTTTATGTATATTTTTGCACACTCTTTAAATAAATTTCTTTAGAATTATATTTGGCATTACACAAGAAAATTACACTTTCAAGAAGAAAATTCTGCCAAGAAATTTAATAAAAATTAAATTTTTTAAAACACTTTCAGAATTTTTCTTTTTTTTGCTCAAAATTGTCTAATGAAAAAAAAGCAAAATAGTTTAAGGTCAATAAAAAACGAAATCAGGAAAACAAAATCAAAAGCAGCAGCAAAATAAAATTTTAATCTTATTAGAAGAAAAATTAGAAAACGGAAATTACCAAATAATTACTTTTTTTGATTAAACTAATTTCAATGTCAAATCAAAAATATGTAATTTTAAAGTTTTTCTTGAAAAATAGCACGAATTTTATAAAACAACCTAATCCGTAAAAATTTGCTTATTGAATTTTTTTTAATAAGAAAGACAAAAAAATTCTTAATTATTTTTGTAGTTGTTTTTTTAATTGGGAGGTATTTTTTTAACGTAAAAACCGTTGTAGACAAGTAGTTTAACGTACGACTAGAACTAGAAAACTGAAACGAAATTAGCTAAATACAAATTAAACAAATAAAATATAAACAACAACTACAGCAAAAGAAGAGAGTGAGAGAACAGTCATATAAAGTCACAAAAAAATAAATAAAACGTCAAAACATCAAAATGACAGACTCACACTCTCTTAGTAAAAAACAATATAAATTACAAAATTACGTATTTGTTGGTCTCGGAATTACTGAACTAAACAAAAAAAATTTATAAACAATAACAACAAAAACAAAGTAAATTTTATTAAATAATTTTTAAAAATTATTTTATTTGTTATTATTGTTGGGTTTTTAGTAGTGGTGGTGATTTATTTAAAAATTTAAATAAAAACGTGAGAGAGCGCAAAAAACGAGAGATTATCTTGACATTATTTAGTTAAAAAAAAGTGGGTGTAATGTGGGGGGAAGAGAGAGCGACCGTTAAAAGAAAAGTAATAAACAATTGGTTCAAGTGTGTAATTAAAATTTGATAGATTTTTCTTAATTAAATGAAACAATAATTTGTTTAAATTTTTTACAGGTTTTGTTAATCTGAATTTTATTTTCATGGA